CCAAAGTAGGTTGCATGTGAACTTAGGAATTGTTTTCTAGTTTATTTGTTTTACCTAAAACCCATCATTTTGGTGGCTTGGAGAAGAAGGAATCGCCTTTGGAGCATAGATCCAGGTTGGATGCTTCAGTTGCATCTTATAGCAACATCTTTGGACCATTGTAAGTAACCAAGATTCAAGCTTTATGATTCCTTGTTTCTAGATCAAAAATTTTATGCATGTTAATCCATGGATAGTTGAGTTAGAGTTTTGGGACTCCATAAAGTTAGCAACATTATGGGTCCTTAGAGTCCCTTGGTGATTATATGTGATGGATCTGAAGTTTGGATGATGTTTGAGCTCATGCTTGAGGTTTTGACCTCCTTTTCTTCATAAATGCCCTAATTTGAGCTCAAGTCTTACATTGGACATGCAAGACCTTAAAGCATTGATTTTTATGGTCTTTGGGGTGTTAGGAAGCCTTTTGGAGAAGATGGATTAGTGGCTTAATGGATTAAGAAGTTTAAGCATCAAAATGTCATTCAGACTGATCTCACGATGTGAGACTATGCCTGTTACGTCATGAGGAACAAGAGTCTCAACTATTTTGTCCTTTAGTATCTCATAACGTGAGCAATAGATGGTCACGTCGTGAGGGGCAGTTGACAGTTGACTTTTTGACAAGTTTGACTCTGGGTCAAACTTGAAGGATTTGGGCTATTGATTAAGATTCTTCCTTGATTTGGTGTTAGAGGGTTCGTGGGAGCAAGCAGTTCAGAAAGAGGAGCGTGTCATAATGTTTATTGGTTCTTCGATTCAAGTGAGTATTCCTCACTGTACCCGTGGGTCGAAGGCACCAATGTCGTCCCACTAGTTGTGGTTATTATTTATTAGAGAGGATGCCCTAGGGACTGTATATAGTCATGTAGGATAGACTGAGGACTATTGATCTAGACTTGCTTGCATGTTCCTTGTTTGGTTGTGGCTCTAGAGTAGGATCATCTGTCTGGGTGTCTATCTCACCTCTAGGTACATATGGTTACGCATTCCTTGGAGAGTTGGTTATGTATCCTTGTGTATAGGATGTTGCTATGTTGTATTGATCTGCTAGATTAATATATATCTTGGTGTAATAGGATACAACAGTAGTGGTATGTTGGTTAGAGTACCAGTAGGCTGGTTATCATCTAGTGGAGTGCCCTAGGGGTTGTATGTATTCATGTAGGATAGCCTGAGAACTCTTGATCTAGGCTTTCTTGCCTATTCCTTGTTTGGTTGTGGCTCTAGAGTAGGATCATTTATTCGTGTGGCTATATCTGGTTACTTATGGCAATATATTCCATGAAGATTAGTTGGTAGCAGATCAGTGTGTTGTGAGAGGTCTGGTAGGCGATAGTGAGTTGTATGATTGGTATTTTGCCTATATTATGTGCCTACTTGATCCTTGATTGTTTATATGTCGACATATTGTGGTGCTTGAGGTTGAGGCGGTCCTGTTGTGTACTGTAGGCCAAGGGACCAGGTGCGAGTCGGTTGTAAGCCGTAGGCACAGAGGCTCAGAAAGAGCGGTTGGGTTGAGGCGACATGCCAACATACCTGGGGTAATCCAATCTGATGACTGTGTACCCACTATGCATGCTTGTATATATTATGTTGTGTGCGGTATTTTGGGGGAACTCACTAAGCTTCGTGCTCACTGAGCTGTTATTTTTTTCAGGTATCTTCGGTTGTCGTGGGAAGGTGAAGGCGGGACTATACACATTCATCAGCAGCAACGAAGATTTTGTGTTATCATATTACTCTGATTTTCAACAAATGTAATTTGGAACAATTGGTTTTTCTTAATATGGATTTTATAATATGGAGTTTTACCTTAATAAAAATGAAAATTTTTTGTTGTGAAAATGAGACGTTACAAATTCCATATCCCACGACATGGTTCCACGTCGTGGAGCCACTGAATCTATAAAAACACAAGATTTCCAACCTTAATCGGTGTGCAGCCTTTGGCAGCCTATATATGCGACTTTTTCTTCGTTTTGACGTCCAGAAACCCTCTAGGGTCGATTTTGAAGCTAGAGATTCGATTGGAGCAAGGATTTAAAGATTCAAGCGCTATTGTATCGATATTTCACTTCGGGTTTGCTTGATGATCGTGTCTCTCAATCTTTTGGTGATGTTTTTATACTTTAGTTTCCTAATTATGTTGTAAAAACTTTTACTTTCACTAGATCTTGATGTACCATAATACTATGTGTTAATTTCTACTTTTATGGATTATTGAAGTTGGTTTTAGCTTGTGTTTGGTTGATCATTATCCTAGCATGTTAAAGTTTCAATCTTTATTGTCTTGCCCTCAAGTTTTGTGTAGTTAACTGGCTATTGATTGCATGAACTTGTTTACATACTTGTTTATGATCATTAATTTGTTAGAGATAGAGATTAACCATATCCTAGTATAGGTACTAAAGTTAGTTGTTTAATTGTGTTAATGAGCATTATTTGATCATAATAAATGCTTGATTGTTTATGTTGATCATAGATAAATAATTATAGATCTGTTCATTCATAGTCAAAATACATCTTAAAATCAATTTGGTGCTCTTAATTTGCATAATCATTGTGGTTAAAGTTCATAAACCGACATATGCTAGTTAGTCTGATTATGATAACTAGTAACCTCTAATTTGGCAACCAACAAAATTAATTCATTGTTTGAAATTAACCATAGAAAAATGGAGGATTCGTGTTCTAATGAAATTACTTCTTATCTATTGTTTCCATTTAGTTCTTTAGTTTCATTTGATTAATTGATTGTTAAAACAATGTAGTTATTTTTAACAACAAAATCTAATTTTTTTTACTTTGTTGTTATTAATTTAATTAACATTTGAATTATTTGATCTAAATCATTCTTGTTCTCTGAGTTCGACACCATTTTCTTCTCTTAAACTATATTACTTCACGACTAAGTACACTGTCTATTTTTGTTTAAGAGTAGTTGAGATTTGATAGGACTTTATAAATAAAAAACTAATGCATAAATAACACATCAACCACCTTCGCCAACATCGTCACCACCGATACCCCCATCACTACTATCGTCGTCACCGCCACCGCCCCCAACACCACCACATCCATGACCAATCCCCACCATACAACCACCATCGTTTTCTAAAAATAAAAATTGATAGAAAAATATAGATCTAAACACATTTTCTAATTTTTCTAAAACAAAAAATTAAAAATTGATAAATTTTAATTAAACGTATTTTCTAATTTTTCAAAAGAAAGCTGAAATGAAAACTTATTTCATTTTTCTAAAACCAAAAAATAAAAACAAAAACTGTTTTCAATAACTAAATACAACCTTATTATTTTAGAAGTTCTTTAAAATAAACGTTGATTTTGAAAAAATAGTTATAAAAATCGATCTAACTACTAAAGTTCATAGTTTATTTTATTTTTATCAATTTGCTCTTACCTATTAATTTATCTACTTTTAATGATAAACTTTTTTATTAACTAACAAAAATAATCCAACAAATCATAACCGTTAAAACACATATTGCTCTTAAGTTCTCACCGTATTTATTGTAATAAGATTACAAGCATTAAAAGTGCATAATTAAGATTCCTTTTTGGTAAGATATTCAATTAAATATAATTTATATAATATTATTGAATATGTGATGCACTAGAAAACAAAAGGAGAAAATGTATTTACCAAGTTCAACGCTAGTGGACCCACCTTTGAAATCTGGGGCACAGACGGCAGTTTTTTCTTCTGATGGTCTGACCTCGTCGACTGCTTTTTTAATCATTTATCTCTACTATAAAACAGAAACTCCTTCCTTTTCTTCTTTTCTCTCTCTTCGTTGCTCCACTTCTCTATATCTTTCTCCCTCTACACAAATTACTTATTTTTTTAAAAAATAACAATAACATAGAAATTATGCTCTTGGTGTCCCTTTTGACGTGTGAATTCTATGCGTGAATCAACGGAAAGTCTTCTCCCTCACACATCCACAACCCAATATGAAGATTTAAAGAATCTTGTTTTAGGGTTCTTGTAATTTGTAAACCTCTTGGGAAAAAGGTCTGATCTTGCTTGATTTCTCCTTGTTTCCTTCAATCAAGTTGTTTTCAATCTGGGTTTTATCTCTTTTTCTTTGATGTTTTGAATTTTACTATAATTTAGTTTCTGGGGTACCCTTTTATTGAAGAAAAAAAAACTGTAGATGCCATTCCCCTTTTGTGCTTGAGATTAAATTTAATCTGGGTATTCGTCTTTCGGGTCTCTGGTGACTTGTAATATGATGAAGTTTGGAAACTTTTTTGGGTTTTTTGTTTAATTGTTTAATTAGTTAATTTTTATTTTGGGTTTTCGGATTAGGGTTTCTTTGGGGGGTTTCAGTGTTGGGGATTTATGGACGAGGTGGAAGCAGCTAACAAAGCTGCCGTGGAAAGTTGCCATAGAATTTTAAATCTGTTGGCTCAACCCCAAGATCATGTACAATCGAAAAACCTGATGTTACAAACAGGGGAAGCTGTTGTTAGATTCAAGAAAGTTGTATCTCTTCTTGACAATGGTTTAGGTCATTGTAGAGTGAGAAAATTGAAGAAAACTCAAAACTTGATCCCCCAAAACATACTCCTAGACAGCACCCCAGTTCAAGAACCACTGAAACCCCTTCAATTTCTTGCAACACCTCCTAATCAAACTCACCCAGTTCAGGAGATCGGTTCAAACGGTGTGAAGAACACTCTTTCCTTAGTGAACCATAAGCCATCACTTGAATTGAGCACCACTGGGAAAAACCCTATTCAAATTTCCCAACAGAACCCTAACCCTAATTCTAATTACCAATTCCTGCAACACCATCACCATCACCAGCAACAGGCACAATTACAGCTCAAACAGCAGGCTGAGATGATGTATCGACGCAGCAATAGTGGGATAAATTTGAATTTTGATAACGCACCTACCATTTCATCTAATAAGTCTTTTATCTCTTCATTGAGTATGGAAGGGAGTGTGACTACTTTAGATGGTAGTTCTTTCCATTTGATTGGGTCATCTCGGTCAACTGATCAAGCTACCTATCAACACAAACCCAGGTGTTCTGCAAGGGGAGATGATGGAAGCACAAAATGTGGGAGTTCTGGTAGATGCCACTGCTCTAAAAAGAGGTTACAATCTTTACTTTGTTACACTTACCCATGATTCGGTTTATAACTTATGGTAATATCATAATTTGATACTGTTTTGTTCATCAGGAAGCACAGAGTTAAGAGGTCAATCAAAGTTCCAGCTGTTAGCAACAAGCTTGCAGATATCCCCCCTGATGAGTATTCTTGGAGGAAATATGGCCAAAAGCCTATCAAGGGTTCTCCGCATCCCAGGTAAACTTTTATTGATGTTCTATCAAAAACCATAAACAAACTTGCTTTGAGAATTATTATGTTTCTAACTCTAACTAATAAATCTAGTTTCTGGTTTACTGTTTGACACTTATTTAGTAACCCATGGGATGGGTTCCATTTAGTTTAAATCCACAAATCAAGTCCAATTCTTGAAACAAAAGCAAGAATTATTATAGTCTTTGCATGGAAATGCCACCGTATCAAGATTCAATAACTTCAATGTTGAAGTCTACATGCATTTACTTTGATAGTATATAAACGTATTAGATATTAATTCAACGAAACGAATATATGTTGAGTTTGATTGAAGTGAAGTAAAGAATGTTTGGTTGGTTGGTTGATTGTGAACAGGGGATACTATAAATGCAGCAGCATGAGAGGTTGCCCAGCAAGAAAGCATGTGGAAAGGTGTTTGGATGATTCAACAATGCTTATTGTCACCTATGAAGGGGAGCACAACCATACCAGGTTGCCTTCCCAATCTGCAAACACATGAAAGAATCTTTTGATAGAAAGCTCTCGAGCCCAGAGTTTTTTGTTGACTGTTGTCTGTTGTCTGTTTAATCTTTTCTTGATCGCATTGGGTTGCTCCCGTATATGTTTTTAGTGCGATTTGGGGGAAATATATATGAAGGGATGTGTCAAATTGGACAAATTTTCATCTGGGGTATGTTTGGTTTTTGTTCTTTTTATCAACTTAGAGTAGACTTTTCTTTTGTGTTTTTTGTTGTGGTACATTGTGCCTTTGGATTGGCTAAAATGAAACCCCTTTTGCTGGGCTGAAAGCCTGGAATGATTGGTTGTTTTGCGGGTTAGAGAACTTAAATAGTGGTTTTGTTATTGTCAAATGTATGTCTTTGAATTCCTGTGCTTGTGGTTCTTTATATTAGCTTAGCACCATAAGACTTCTTATAGTAAATAATAACCACAAATCGGAGATGTAGATTTGATAGAAGCCCTATAGGGAACATAATATTGTCGGTGCTTGTGGTGGTTTTGTAGAGTGGCAATAAGGGTGGATAACTGGATACTATCGACTCCTGAAAATGAAATTCTACCCTGTGTTTGAAATTGTATGGATGGTATTAGAACGTTCGACCACAATAGGAGAGTTTTTTTATGGGGTTTCTCATGTAAAAGTTTTAAATGAAAAAACTTTTAAAAAGCTCCACAATAGGAGAGTTTCTCATATTGATTGTTATGGGTTATTTAAATTAGTTGTTAATTTCCAGTTGGTTGAAAACACATGGAACCCATATAATTAAAAAAAAAAACTCTTGTAAGTTTGTTAATTAGTGAACATTTTGAAAAAACATTAATTTGAAAAAGCTCCTTTCATATATATATATATATATATATATATATATATATATATATTTCATAAGTTCTTTGCGGATGAAAAGCTTTTGAAAAAACTTTTATTATGGAAGCTCTTAGGCCAATGGATATACCCTTCACACCACCATACTGAAAATGTTAGTCGCTTCAACCTAGAGGTGGCAATGGGCCGACCTGGGTTGGGTTCGGGTTCAACCCATTTAATAGTTAGGTTGAAAATTTCAACCCAACCCAACCTGTTTAGTTAAATGGGTTGATATTTCCAACCCAACCCAACATTTTAGATAAATGGGTTGTCATCGGGTTGACCTGTTTATGTAGTTCTCGACTCAGCCTATTAAATAAATGGGTTAAACGTAGGTTAACCCATTTAAAATCAATTAAATAAATTATATAATTAAATATTATACCACTTAAATTATAAAACGTAAATAAAACTTCATAATTATGACAAAAACACAATCCTAATTCATAAATATAAATAAATTGTTCAAATAACATTAAAAATGTTTAGTTTCACTGTGATTTTGAAGGGTGACCATTATTATCGGCACTAAAAAAAAGATGGAAATTAGGATTGAATTATATTCAAATAATATATATATATTAAATTTAAATAGGTTGACGGGTTGAAAACGGGTTGATAATTTTTACCCAACTCAACCTATTTAATTAAATAGGTTAGACAGGTTGACCCCTTTAAGTTAAATGGGTTGAAAATCTCAACCCAACCCGATGGGGAACCCGAAACCCGCACCCGTTTTGACCGGGGATGAGGAATCCCCGAATAAAAAAGTGGGGAAGGGGATGGAGATGGGGATACCCCTAATCCCCGACCCTGGACCCGCCCCCGATATATATTAATATATAAAAGTAATACAAAACATATATTT